TGAGAATCCAGTCTAAGTTGAAGTAGAAGTGTTTGCTGACATTCCCGACACATCCAAAGTCGAAGAGGATGTGGTTAGCACAAGCCATAGACCTCAACGAAATATAGTTCCTCCAATAAGACTTCATGATTATGAAGTAATATTTGATAACAGAGTCACACCAGATGGAGAATTAGTTCATTTTTGTTTCTGATTCATTCGATTACCCGTGGTGTCTATGTATTTGCAGAGTGCGGCATGGTTTTGCTCAATCGGCTCCATGATCCTTAACTTGTTGGCTCAAGTGCGATAAGAATGTAGGGAAGTCGTCTTGTAGATTCTGATAATAAGTGGCAAAACCATTAGATAAGAAATCCCGCCAAAAAACCTGTAATCCATGAAATGTATGATATGTATGATGTATGAAATGATTGTCCATTCCGGTTTTTCACAGCTCAATTAACGTCAGTAATAATCGAGTAACATGATAATAAGAACGACCATATAAAGAAAATATCCGAAAATCGGAGAAATTCCCACGGAGTTCAATACAAGAAAGTTGTGAAAGTATAAGATAAGAGATTTCGTCCAATAGTCCTGGCGTTAATCGGAACATCAATACAATAATCAATCTCCTAGCTCTTACAGGGTGCAACGTACTTGTGCCTCAAGTACTCAAAACAATACTTTGAAACACCTCATCCTTCTCGATCATTGTGATTTCCAGACTATGTAATCGAGTCAACAAATCAACATATTCTTCATTTGCGGCGTGATGTTTTTTTTCCCGTTATTTCCTTCAACCAAATTTTTGAGATTTGTAATTTCCTTGTTGAACTGTGTCATAGACTGCAATAGCTAACAACGCATTGAGCGCGCACCAAGTACCATCTTTATGCTTTAACGACCAAGAGGTATGCTTTAAAGTTCCTTAGAAATAGCTTCAAAACTGAGCTTGTTCGAAACAACAACAACGGAGTGTGCTTAGTGATCTTTGAACAAATGAGGGTACTCTTCCAAAATCAGAACGATCTGATAGTCCTTGAAGGTTAAACAACATAACTCATAGTCAAAAAAGTGAAGTAGAGTCTAGAGAGCTCTATTATCAGTTCGGACAACTAATAGAGTCAAAGTGCCACCATGTCTTTCACTGAAAGCCTCTGCATTAGGACAGACTAAACGGTCTTTCAAACTCTTCCAAGAAGGCTAAGAAATTGAGCGAAACTGATAAGTAAAATTGTCTCTTCTGGTCCTCTTGGGAACATCATTGTTGCTAAACGTTACTAACGGAAACTATAACTTCGTGAGATACCCCGGAATGGACATGCACGTGCAAGGTTAGCATATAGTTTCATTTTTTTGACATTTTATTTTTTAAAAGTAAACATGTTATGATTTAAGTGCAAGTGATCATGGGATTACTACTTCCATGATACTGATTTCAGTTGTATTGTCTCTGTATAGTCTGCTAGTACCAGGATCACAGGTTCGGAACATAAACTAAAGAACCTCATGAACATCAGATCAGAAATTCATAAAATAAATCTGAGAACCTTATAATTGTCGACAGAACACACGGTCACCATTGGATCTTAGTCACCAACAGTACCTACAAGAATCAACCCTCCCTACTCATGGGTGAAAACTAGGTCAGGGTAAGGCAAGGGTAACTCGAAAATCACGGGTCCACTTGAAAGTAAAATCATCGTAACACAGACGTGCATGATGAAAATAACACCAATTGAACCTCGTCTGAGTATGGTATATGACATGAATGCGCTAGTCAGACAACGTCTTATAGTCGTCATGCCCCCACTCTATTCCTATGTTTCCTAGATAGTGCACTCTGGCCTGTGCACTGGGCCTTTTACCTTAATAGTAACACCCACTCAATCAAGAAGTAGATCTAGTACAACAGTAGTATATGGAAAATAGTAAAATGAAATGCGTACATATGCTCAAGTAATCATGTATGGATGAATAAACTGAAAGCATAAAAATAAACACCCAAAGAAAAGATAACATGAGCTAGGAGTGACTCCAGGATGGACCACTGATTGGTCAATTTGTCCCCAGTGAAGTCACCAGTTGAAACAACCGGCTGAAAAATCATCAAACAATGAAGTCTCCATCGAACGTCTTTTATCCCACATGAAGGGATAGGTAAACATCGAGAAAACCTGATAACGGAGAAGTCATGGTCTTGTGACCAGGGAGTCTGTTAGACGAGGGGGAGGTATTAACATCCCACACGCCCGTAGTACTCTACGGTATCCACTTTGTTTTCTATCTTATGGGTGTGTTTAATCTATGCATATTGTTTATTACTGAGGAAGAATGCATGCAAAAAAAGGAGAAAAGAATGTAGGGAAAATAAAGTTGTACTCGCTTGGGCCCTACCCCAATGCCTACATATCCTTTTTGAGGAATCAGATTTATCGTAGTTCGGCTCACATGTTTTTGTTTGTTTTGTATTTTTTTACGAATGATGTTAATTCTGTCTTCAGCTGCTGCTCGACCTTTGGAGACTCATGCGTTGGCACAGAAGTAAAGTAATCATGTCCTTACTTGAAAAGGGTTTTAAGAGAAAAGGTGCTTGGGCGCACAAAAAGGTTTGAGTTGGTTTGTATTTTGTTACCTTGATAAAGGGTTTATGTGTAATTAGCATGTTTTAGGTTTGTTAAGGAAAAGGTTTTAGTTTTAGATGCATATGCAAAAGGGGAAAGAAAAGAGTCTAAGGGATACTAGCATATTTCTAACTTAATGTTATCATACAATGGTAGTCCTAAGGTTTGGATTAACAAAAGGGAAACTTCTACCTAATGTTAGCATGCATGGCTTGTAACCTTAGGTCTAACTTGCATATGAAAGGAGCAAGCACATCCTAAGGGAACATGGTATGTACAAGGATAAAATAAGCAAGCTCGAAAGAGCACACACATAAAAGAGTAAGAAAAGAAGCAAAATTCTTTAGCCAAGGGGAGTGTATCACCCGAGACAAACAAGCGGTAGTGAGATGAAAAAACAAAAATGTGATGTCCAAAGCGACTGAAAATCTAACCAATATATAGGAGATTGAAGTAGGCGACTGAAGGAAATATGAATGATCACAGAGTATCAGCATCGGCCAATGCGAACTCCTGAAAAAATGTGGGGGTTCGGTTGCAGAACCCTCCCCACTTGACGACTCGATACACATGAGCAGGCACAACTCTGAAGCATCGTGGTGCGTCACAAGCTAAGGATGATACAGACGAAATTGCGGGAGTCAATTACTAACCCTCCCCTCTCGCCTCCTTTTGAGGACTTCAATAAGGGATGGGGGAATAATGCCGGCATAATTGTAAACACACCTGCATAATACCTACTCAAAGGCAGGGTTTTAAACAAACCACATGCAAGTAGCAAACTAGAAAGCACATAATGCAGAATTGCCCTAAACGGGTCTTTAAATAAACCAGAGGGGTTCCTGACATGATCAGCAATGGAGACCCCCGTCTTACATCTCTACCCTACTTCTCATGGAATCAGAAATCAGTAAAGTCCTACTTCTCATGATCTCTAGAAAAGCAATAAAATGTTGTAAAGTGCGGGGAAATACGAAAGTAGTAGTGGCGACTGACACAAGCAAGAGAATCGTCGAAGGTAGATGAAAGTAATGAAGAAGCAGGGAGTACGCGTCAAGAAAGATTCACCAAGAAACAAACAAAGTCATATATGATATCCAACTAAGATATAAGCAAACGTGTGTTGTGAATGCAATGCGTAATGAGAAGTTCCTACATAAAGCGTCATAAAATTTCACATGTATCAAGACAACATATAATATGATATGGATTTCTCAAGACGATGAGAAATAAGGCATGTTGCATCAGAAGTGAGCATAAGATGTATGCTTCGATAACATACCTATCTGTTATGTTACATGATCGAAAGCATAAAAAATGTACCTTGCACAATGAACAAACGCGTCAAAAATAACGAGGCACGACGATACAAAAGTATGAATAAAACTAAAAGAACGGAACAAGTATTTTTCATTAGTTTTTAAGTAAGGAAAATTCTAAAAAAACTGAAGAATTAATTCCTAGAAAAATTCTATTATACTCCACTATTCTTTATTGTTTTTGTCATGAAAAACTACCAAAAACTAGTGAATTAGTTCCTAAAAATCGATTAAAAAACTACCAAATTTTGTTGATTTTATTACAATTTTATCATAAAAAATTTAAAAGAAAAAATCTAAATCTACATATCCTTTTTTTCCTTCTATCATTAAGTTTTTATTGGGGAAGTTTAAAATAAAATCTAAACTAAAAAACAATTAGAAAGAGTCAGGGGAAAAAACTGATTTCCAGAGGTATGTAGAAGCAGGGCGCTAGGCCCATCAGAAAATTCCCAAGAGCCTTTTTATTTTTCTGTTTAATCATTAACTTAAGCTTCAAACAAATGGAAACGGGCCTAAGGGAATGCCATTCATCCCAGGAGTATATTCGGCAGGTATATCTCAGTAAGCATTTTTTTTGTTGAGTTATAAAGCCTCAAGCTACAAAAAATGTCACTCGGCTTAGGCAGGTCCGGTTCAGCCCAGTAATAAAGGGTTTTTTTGTTCAATTGTACAGGTTCACAAAAATTATATGGACCAGGCTTTAGGACAGGCCCAACAAGATCAATACCTAGTCCAATCTAATTTTCAGCATGGTGTTATATTAATCATCACAAAACAATTTAATAAAATTTAAATAAAAAATATGAAGGGAATTAGGTTAAATTTTGTGACGGTCCCAATTCTTCTTTCTCTCTCCAACGAATGCGACGGTTATTTCTCATCCATCCTCTCTGCCAAAAGCGACACAACACCAACATTCTTGTACTTCGACGACACTCAACCATCTCTCTTCATCTCCTACCCCGACTTGTTCTCATCTCCACCTCATCTCAACAATCCAATTTGTTCCCGAATCCGTTGTGTTTCCTTAACTGCATATCGAAATCAAAGCTACACGAAGAACAATGAAGCTTCAAAGCTTTCCGAATCCATCCACAGATTGCATATGTTCAAGCAAGATGTTATGCGAAATGTTGTAATCAAAATGGAAATTGAAACTCACCGGTCGGAGTTCGTTCGACGCATCTTCGACGACAGCGATTAGGAGCGGAAAACCAGATATGTTTTCTTCCAGGTAACTTCTCGAGCCTTCCTTCTGCGATTTTGTTTCTTTCTTCTCCCTTATCATTCTCTCGAGATTTCAGTTTCAATCCACTTCTTCTTTTTGGTTTCGCTTCTGAGTTGTTAATGCACTGCATATTCAGTGATGATATGATGAAGGTTGATGATGTGATGCCGAAGTCCCGTTCATGCAGAGATATTGAAGGTGTTGAGGGAAGTTTGATGATGAAAGATTCTAAGAGAGAGAACTGAAGGTGAAAAAGAAAGAGAGTGGAGATTTTAGAGAGAGGGAGCAGAGTGAGATGAAGATTTCAGCATGGATCTAGAGGAGAAGAGAGAATTGAGAGGATGAAGAAGAGAGCAAAAGAAGTCCTCCCCCAAAATCCTTCTGGTGAGCTCTTTTATTTTTGTATCTTTCATGTCGTGTGAAATCTGAACCCTTCCTCTTTCCCTTTTCTGTTTTTCTTCTGTTAGGAGTTTGTTATGGCAGTTATGGAATTAGTTGGAATTATTAATCGGTTATAAGTTGGTTGGGAATAGGTTGGGTGTTAGAATTCAGTTGAGAATTTTGTTATGCGGTTGGGGTTAGTTGGACTGTAAGGGGTTAGTTATCTAGTTTTAGGTAGACTAGTTTTTTCTAGATGAATTTTGTTTGGCCGTTGGTTATATTTCTATTAGAGTTGTTGGTTGTGATTCGGTTATGCAGGGTAATTAAGTTGTTAGTAAACCGGCTAACTTTGGTTTGAAAATGATAGGATTTTGTTTTCTGTTTTAGATTCTCACGGTCAGCACCAATCTTTTTCATACTATTCCTAATTTTTATTTCTCATTTTATTTCCTGATTTATACCAGACTACTAAATTCCTTGTTTTTGTCAATACATATGGCATGGTTTAAATATGTCTTTATTATGAATCGGTTCATGTGGTATGATTCTGTTTGTGAACTCTCCTCATTTTTGAGTTAATACCGATATGCTGAGATGCATTTTTTATGACTTAATTGTGTGCTTAATCTTTCCATTTCTTCTTATATTCAATTTTGTCGGTGATATATGAAGGGCTTCTCATTCTGATTGAATGACATCAATAAATTGGGAAATGTTAGCTTGAAGGCCCTGTTATGGTTTGACATTTAGGGTGATTAACTGGACTGGTGGAAATAGCCAAACATCAGCTGCATTGATTGAGGTTAATCTCAACTGTTTTGGAATTACTTGAACTCAATGCATTGGACCTGTGATAGAGTTGGCGTGTGTATGGTTGGATGTTGCAGGTGGCGCTAATTATGCAGGTTTGAATTATGCAGGTGACGGAGCCTCGTTGAGAGCTACTTCCTGGCATCAATGCGCATATAAATGATTCACCGTCACTTTGAATTTTGGCTAAGTCCTTCTTTCCGCCATAGAGTTCCTGTGTTAGTAATGTTTCAGCTCCAACCTTGGTTGTTTATGATGTATTGTATGTACTTGCTTTCTCCACTGGCCTTGTGTAGAAAAGAAGTAGCCCATAACAGTTCATCCGATTTTGACTGGTGTTTACCGTTGTTTTTGGTAAACAACCGCTGGTCTCCAAAAGGTAAGTTTTTTGGTTTACTTGCGGGATCGACCAAACTAATCCCAGAACATATGCTAATCTTTATGTAAAATGAGTAAGAAGGAAGAACGCACGTTCGACCCAGGGGAAGGATGTTTAAGATTGTTGAACAGTAAGCAAAAGCATAAAAATGCAAGTAAAAGAAGTAAAAAGATGACTTTGCAGGATAATGGTAAAGTAATGTAACAAGACTTTTATTAAGTAAAAAAGGTGTTTCTAACGTACATTGCTCCGCTTTTATCCTTTCTCACGCAGTAGTTACTTGGATAATATTTGAGAGATTTAGTACCATAAGTTGAACACACTTAAAAATTACACAAGCTTCTTAATTTATACTAAAAGTAGGTAACCGTCGAGGGGACATTCTGCGCTAGGATGAAGATAAGTGTCTTCTGCATGCCTCTCGACCTATAGCTTTTTGCCACATTCCCTTCCCTTAGACACTGACGAAAACCACCTTTCCCTCCAATAATTCAAATTTCAAATGGTTTTCGTCCCATGTGCCAAGGCGCGAACACTTTCCTTCAGTCGAACAACCTAAATTTGATTCAGTTGAATGAACCCTTGGTCGAAGACTCTTATCATAACTTAGATCCTTTTTCCTAAGTTATCTCGTGTATCTAATCATACCTCCTGGTTTAGTTCATTCAAGTTGTTTGGTCCAAAATACCAAATACAGTAAGTGTCGAATTTGGGAGCCAACAAATTGCCCCCCAAGAATGTCTATTTCGACACTCAAAGAAATAGCCATTCTTTGAACTTCCCATTCGACACCTGTCTCCCCAGTTGTCCACCAAGTTTTTGACGTGTGCTTTTCGCCTTCCAACAGCTGCTATACTTGGTAAAACCATCATTACTTTTCTCCAAGATGTCTCTTCAAAACTGTCGTTACCACGCTTGCCATGATGGCCATATTCCTATAATCTAGGCAAGCATGTCCCAACATTTCCCAATGCATGCACGGTAACCGTTTCATGCCTCGCCATGTGCCCCACTACCTCTGAAACATTAAATGCCTTTGATGAGACATCTCCCACTTCTGAAGGCTATAAATACTTCCAAGTCTTTCTATTTGGAACTTTTATCATTTTCAGCTTTTCCAAACCCCTTGCATTCTTACAACATTGTATTGTCGCCTTCGCTCTTTCTCTTAAGTTTTTAACAATGGCCTTTCTCTCTAATGCCCCAAACAATCCGCAACCAAAAAATTCTAATGATGTTCAGAAACCACCAGAGATCTTTTCCACCAACCCTCCTTCTTCCTCGACTAATAGGTACATTGATGAACCTATGAGAGAATGGCGAGAAGCCTATGATTCTCAACTCCTTATTCCCGTCAGATACGGCGGAAACATGTATGCTATGTCCGGTCCGTTATCTTCATGCATCGAAAATCCCTTAAAAAATCATGCCTTTTTTCCTACACACCCAAGGCTTAGACCCATAGGTTGTGCCAAAAATCCTAGGGATGACCCCGAAGACGCCACTCTGGCGAACCAGCATCACCCTCAGACTACAGAGGATATCAACCTCCAGTTCATGAACAAAGGGAATCGAATCTTTCGATCACTCCCTAACCTTTCTTCTGAATACTCCGACTGGTTGAATAAAATGGAGAGGGTGCAAGCTTCTGTCTGGAAGGAGATGGGCATATATGACTTAGTGATGTTGTCGAAGACAGGATTGCCTTACTATCCTCTTATGCTGATACCCTCATTGTACTTTTGGGATAGTGCACATTTCACTTTTCATATTCCTTGTGGGATGATGACCCCTACTTTGTTTGACATAGCTGCCATCACTGGTCTTCGACCAACTGGTGACTATTTCGACCCTGAAGACTTGTCTGAGGATCCTATTGGGTTTGCTGCTACTAAACCCACTTATACTACCTTCATAAACCACTTTCATGACAAGGCCTTAAATATCGTGTCGGAGGTGGAACACATAGCCTTCTTGGCCATGTGGCTGTCTCGATTTTTTTTCTGTACTAAATCGCTTCAGGTGACGAAAAATATGTTGACGCTTGCAACGCAACTCCATCACAAATACCCTCTTTTCTTGGCCGAATTGATTATGGCCAACTTATATGAGTCCATCAGTAATGGTGTGACTCAACTTAAGGTTCTAGGAGACAGGGGAAGCTTGCTGCTATCTGGTCCCTTTTGGCTTCTGCAATTGTGGCTTAACGCCACCTTCGAATCCTTCCTCCCTCAAAAGAACAAGATTAATGAAGAAGCTCCTGAAATCTTGAACAGGAGGGTCGAAGGCACCAGGTTGGCATTGCTAACTCCCACTGATGAAGGCCAACAGTTTCAAAAGGCCTTTACAAGCTTCGTAATGATGTTTGCGGAGCGAAAGAGATTTGTTTCGACTATGGCTCCCTTTGCCAGTCGAAAAGTTGGCCCGAAATGGTTCACTAGACCATATCCTTCGGATAAAGAGGATGACGTGACTGATGAGTTCGTGTGCATGTGGGAAGCGTTTCTCCACCCCAGGATCATGCCTTTAAGATTTAAAAGCTCGAAGAACCAATTGAGCTTAATTGCTTATCAGCCAAATCTTGTCTCTCGACAGTTTGGCATTGCTCAATCGCTTCCTTCTCCCATTTACCCTCGAGAGAAGCTGCTACTTTTTTATAATGCAGATTACTCATAGGATGCCGCTACCAAGCATATTGGTAGGTACTCTGGTCGAACTACACTGACCCTGTTCAATTTTAACCTTCATTTTCTGAACTCTGCCACTTTTGAGACGTGGTGGAAACATTATTCTGATGAAGAGTTATTCGATGAGAAGGACTTCGCCCACCATCTACGTGAGGCATTCAAGCTGGTTCTTGACAGAGTCAAAAAAGGTATCCTTTTTCCATCCCTTCGTCTTAGATTCGTTTTCAACACCTAATTAACTATAGCTGTTTTGCCTTCTGTTTAGCTGTCAAGAGGGTTACCTCGAAGAAAACCGCGGAGAGTACAAAAGGGGGAGACTCTGCTATCAATCCCTCTCCTAAGGTACTTACCTTTCCTTTTTACCCTTAGTTTTATCTGACATAGTTATTGATCTTCTCGACTTGGTTTTCTATATGCTCAGAAACCAACCCCCAAAAAGAGGAAGGTTCAGTAAATCCAAATCTCTAGCAATGAAGAAGAGGAGTCTCCACCTGTTCCTTTGCAGAGACGAAGATTGAAAAAACCAACTTCTGTCGTCGAAACCTGTCCAAAAATCAGGATTAAAACTACGGCTGGGAGGCTACCTCCTGTCATCATCAATGAACCCACTGAACAAGAGGTAATCGCTAGGTTAAACAATCCTAGTGAAAGTGACAACTCTAGTCCTGGTGCTGAAATCCCAGTCCAGGTATTTCTTCGACTGCTTATTATTTACTTCTTTCACTCTCTTTTACTTTGTGATGCTTCTACAAGCAATAAATTCTTTCTATTTTCCAGGACACTGCTGGCACTTCGACATGAAT